CACAATCGCTTGATCTCGACGACACGTGGCTTGTGACCTCACCAACGATTGCCGCCGGTACTGGGTTATTAACTCCCTGCACCGTAACTTTATTCTTTTTTACTTCTTTTTCCCATCTTAGTTGATTTATTTAAGGGCACTACCCCGATCCATTTTGGTCCACGGGGGATCCGAAGATCCCCAGGGTTTCCACAAGGCACAGAGAGAAGTTGATCTAGGAGACCTAGGTCAGTTTCTCTCTGCATATCATGGAGACCCCCTTCCCATCCGCCACCCGGGAAGACGCGCCTAGTAGGAGATTGGTAACTCCCTTAGGTAACCTTTGTTGTTACTTAATTCCTATAAACCGTGAACAGATGTTTAAAAACAGTAATGCAAGTCGAATCGTTGATGCCCTTCATTGATCGAAACAACACGTCGGATGTAACATATAAAATTATAAGAATGAAATACACAAATTCTAGCTAAATAAATTGATCATTCTCGAAGTTTCGTTGAATTTTGTCGGATGTAACATATAAAATTATAAGAATGAAATACACAAATTCTAGCTAAATAAATTGATCATTCTCGAAGTTTCGTTGAATTTTGTAAAAAAAATAAAACATAAATATGAATATGTATATTTTTTTTGTTATTTGTCGGTCTTATACTTCATAAATAAGTTTTTAAAAACATAAAGAAGATATTAAGTTTGAAAGTTGAATTTATGTTCATTTTGCTCTAAGCTCACTTTAAACTACAATAAGAAGTTGTGTCTGTAAAACAATTGAGGGGAAGCTTTTTTATACCAGAATTAAATAAATTGTATTTCAATTAATGTTGCGTTTTGCAACATTGGAAATTAGTGTTGAAGATTTACAACATTGCTCATATGAATGATTCAATATGATATCAATCCCACTAAATAAGAGTTTGAGAGTAGTTCATTTCTAATTACTATTTTTTAATGTTTGAATTGTTTGAATATTTTTTATTAACTTTAAAGTTTTCCAGAGCATATTATCAATTTTAGTTCACTAAAATCATGAATTTAAGTAACATAGGCGATATTATCCATGATAATCAGTTTTTTCGCTCTCGTCTTTCCAATATGCAGAAGCATTTAAATGTAATGCATTTTAATTCGCAAAGTCTTAACATCAATCCGAATTCATCAAAGCTTTCTGAAATCAAAAACATTGTTGAAGATAGTAGCTTGGATATTGTTGGTATATCCGAAACCTGGTTGAAAGCATCAGTTCGCTCGGCGAAGTTAAATTTTAGTGGATATTCTTTTTGTAGAAACGATAGACCCAATCGCAGAGGTGGTGGTGTCGGTTTGCTTATATCTTCCAAATTAAATTACAAAATTGTTTACAATGGCAACAACTTTGGCTGCGTCGAATGTTTATTCGTTCAAATTATTACCGATACAGGTCTTTTTTAATAGGAGTGGTGTATTTGCCCGATGGTAATTTTCGAGCTCTTGAAAATGAACTTTCAGAAATTATTTTACGTTACAATAACTTCGTCATAATGTGTGACTTTAATAATAACTTATTTGATCCCAATTTGGCCTATACGGTACGGCAGGCGTGTTCAAGAATGAATATTAAAATCATTCATAATAACTGTCCCACTCACTATGACACTTTCCATCAATCAACATCTCTGATTGACTACTTTTTAATACCACAATATGATAATGTTGGACTTTCTGGTCAAGCCATATGCCCAAATATTTCCAAGCTTGCTTTTATTTTCCTTTCGATGAACTATTCTCCAAAGCGCACAGATTCTTTTTATGAATTTATTGATTACAATGACTTCTGCTGTGAAGATTTAGAAGAAAAGGTGCGTACTTCCGGACTGGAACAAATTTTTTTGGTGTCTCATGTTGATTACAAGTTAAATACTTTAATGAAAGGCTTAAACTATATTCACACTGCATTTAAAAAGAAAAGGGGGAAAGTGAAAAATAATGTTGAGAATTGGATACATTCTCCACTTGTTCGGTATAGGCAGTCTCTGTCAGATTTGGCATACAAGGCATACATTGAGGACAAGTCTGAGGTCAATTGGAAGGTATATTGCAAATTAAGAAATCAAACAAAAAACCTTAAAAGAAAAGCACATTCTCAGATGTTCGAAACGTGCAGCGGACCCAAGGAAATGTGGAACATTCTTCGAAATCATGGCCTTATTAATAAAGGCAATAATGAATTAGATGCTAATGAAATGAACTCAAAATTTGTTAATAACCAACTAGATCCCCAAGCTAATATTGATAATTGGCAACATATTTTAGATAATGAACATGGTTTTGCTTTTTCTGGCGTTACGCTCAAATCAAATGTTGGAAGCTTTTGTCCAAGTTAAATCCAATGTGGCAGGTAATGACTTATTTCCAAAAAGAAAGAAAAACAATGTAGGTCCTGGTCTAGAATATCGTCCGATTGCTTTACTTCCGGTTTTGTCTAAAGTTGTCGAATATCTTTTACGATATCAAATGATGACATACATTGAAAACAAGTCTATGCTAAGTGATTGTCAGTGCGGATTTCGAAATGGTAGAGGTACATCTATGTTATTAGCAGGTTTAACAGATACCACTAGACGATATAAAATATAAAATAAGTGTTGTGTCTTGATTTCACTTGATCTCGAAAAAGCATTTGATCAGGTAGACTATTTATGTTTGATTAACAAACTTAACAATCTATATAAATTCAGTAAGAGTAAGAGCATTTATTTTTCGATAGCGATTGACGAGACTAAGAGGGGAATCGAGTATTACTTCTTCAGGTGGCGAAAGAAGAGGAGCGCCTATGAGGAAGTGACCCGGCGTAAGTGCTACGGAATCTATTGGATTATCATTTATTGGACAAAGTGGTCTAGAATTTAAGCAAGCCTCAATTCGAACTAAAACGGTAGATAGCTCCCCAAAAGTATATTTAAAGGCCCTTTGGGCTAGATTCTCGTTTATGAAATAAATTGAAATTGAAAAGCGCTTGCAAATTGCTGTATTCATATTTGCATGAAAGGAAGCAATTTGTTCATTTTAAAAAACTTTTCTCTAATACTCTTCCAGTTAGAGTGGCGTCCCGCAAGGTTCCGTACTGGGCCCACTTTTATTCATTCTTTTTTTAAACGATTTGAACATGTGCTTGGAGAATTGGTGTATTCCTTATGCTTATGCTGACGACGTTCAATTACTATTTGCAGGTGATTATAGATCCATCAACGTATTGCAATCGAAAATTGAGCTTGTTATGGAAAAACTTGGCGACTGGATGATGGTTAACCGACTTCGCGTGAACCCGTCTAAAACTACAGCAATGTTGTTTTCTAACAGGGATATACCAAATCTGCAGTTAAAATTAAAGGAGTGAATATATCATTTGTCCACAATATGAAGTGTCTAGGGGTAATATTGGATAACAAGTTATCCTTTGATTTACACATTGATATGGTAGTAGCTCACACAAACTATGTTCTAAGGCAACTATACAACACAGATTTAGTTTTACCCTACCATGAAAAAAAGAGACTTGTACATGCCCTAATCATGCCAAACATTTTATATTGTATAGAAGTATATTCGTGCACACATGCAACACAAATGTCAAAATTGCAACATGCATTTAACAGAGTAGTTCGATATCTGTATTCTCGTCGTCCTTTTGATCGCATTTCCGGTTATGTTCGATGTTTTCTGGGTTGCTCATTCCCTTGTTTTGTCAACTATAGACTATTGTTATTATTTTACAAAGTATATAAACAACAGTTTTTAATAAACCTTTTTAATTTTTCTCATTCAGTTCGTGTGAATCAATTAATCATGCCTAGAATAGGACCTCACATGAACGAATCGTTTACCGTTAGAGTATCAAGACTATTCAATCTACTTCCTGATAACCTAAAAGTGTTTCGTTACAGATACTGCTTATAAAAAAATCTTCTTCTATATTTCTCTGAAACCACGTAATGGATTGATGTTTTTTTCTTAACAAACTTTATTTTATTATTCGGTCTATGGCTAAAACTGATTATCATTTAAATTTTTTTAAATTTATTTTCCCTTTTTTTAAATAAATTTGTATAAATAAACAATGATTGTTATGTATAAGTAGCGACTATTATCATTTAGTAGTAATTATATTTATTATTTTTCATGTTTATATATATATATATATATAAGTATTACGCATACATAATTCTATACTGAGTAGCTATGAAATAAGGTGGAATCTTTGTAATTAACTTTAAATTGGCCTCATGAATTGTAAATTGGCTTAAATTGCAAAGGAATCGAATAAATAAATAAATAGATTATTTTGGGATGTTTCATCCATATAGAAAAAGTAAAGTATAGAAAAAGTACAACTGCTGACCGTTGTCTCCGTTAATGAATACCCGATTTCACAACCTTTGAACAAAACCAATGAAATTAGAAACACTGTAAAACTTGTAAAACTTATTTCCAATATTTCGGAGAAGTACCCAACCTCCATTTCATTGAACTGCTCTGCCCGTTTTTATACGAAGAAGTAAGACAAAACATGCCAGCCCACTTCGATTTTTAAAAATGGAGTTTTTTTTTTTTAATCTTAAATTTATGTGTCAAAATGCTTTTTATAGTCATAACTATAAAAACTGCGATACATCCACAGTTTGCGTCTCCCCAAAATGAAACATTTTTGACTACTCTCAAAATTTTAGTGATCCTTTGTTATTCGAATTATTCCAACTCGACTATATATACTATTACAGTAACATATGGTATTATCGGTTACCTTTTTAGTTAATAAGGAAAAGATAAAATTATAATAAACGTTAATTTAAAATGGCACTTTATTTCGTTTACTTCTAATATAGGTATATTTTAGAAAATTATTTATTTACACAATTATTGTCTTTACGTGTTTTACTTTAAATTGCTGAACTAGATTTGAAACTTAATAATCCATCAGAGATTTTAACACATTTTGTAGGTCCTTTTTGTCTGAAAATGGTCATTACTTTTGCAATAAAAAGTCAGCAACGAGTTTATTAAACTCCTCCGCATAGCGTAGGTGAATATTATGTTTTCCCTCTGGGAACTCATGATATCTGCAATAATTACAAATTTGTTTTAAAACATCGGGCGATAACAAAATGAATTGTAATAATTACCTAACGCCCTTGATACGTTCTCTCAAATATGGAATATGTTCTGCGGCAATCATAGGATCCTTTTTGCCATGCAGTATGAATGTTGGTGCTTTGATTTGCTCAACTTCGCCTTTACAGAAGTCACCATTGCGTTTGGTGTAAAACGCAGTTGCAGCATCTACCCATTCACCCCACAATTCAGCAAATCTATCGACACCATATACCTTTTCCATTGGTTCGCGCATACGTGCTGACCATTTGCTGACATCACGTATATTCTTAAATGCTTCTACTTCTTCCGGTACCAGATAAGCACCAGCACCCCAAATGATCAACTTTTCAATGTTGTCGATATAACGTCCTGCCGCAATAAGACCTGTAATGCCGCCATCACTCCACCCGATTATCGAAAACTTTGGTCTGTTTAGCGCTTTCATCAAGTCCAATGCGCAGCTGGCATCATTGTGGAAGAAATCTAGACCCCATTGTCTCTTGGGTGGAATAGATTTGCCATAGCCAGGGGGATCCCAGGCAATAACCGTATAATTGGGCAGTAATTTAGGCAGTTGTTCTATTTGGGGCTTGAAATCTGTCCATGCGGATCCCAAAGCCCCAGGCATCAGTAGCACACTTTTATCGCCCTTTCCACTTTCTACTATATTTATTTCAAGGTCATTTACTTTTACTTTGCGCTCCATATGTGCGGAACGTTTTGTCAACGACCTTGCGAACTGTTTGCAAGTTGCCAATAGCTGGGAACGCACTTGCAACATTTTGCTATAACACAAATATGTAACTTAAATGAAGAAAAAAAATAGAATTACTTAGAGCGATAAGGTATTTTTTTTTAATTTGACCCGACCGGCACCCGGCTGATATAAGGGAAACAAATAGATAGAGTTGGGTAGTTCCGGAACGAACTAGTTCATTGGAACTATTCCGAGAAAGGAACGAACGGAACTAGTTCCAGTTCTTTAATTAATATAATTCCTTTCTCTGATCCAGTTCCTTTTTTGAACTATTTGAAGCAAAGGAACTATATGGAGCAAAGGAACTATTTGGAGCAAAGGAACTATATATGGAAAAACGAAAAAAAGAATGATGAAAGAGAGAGATTCAAAAGAACTATGTAGGAGTCGGAACTATATGGAGCAAAGAAATTGTATGGACTAAAGGAATTATATGGAGCAAAGGTACTATATGGATCAAAGGAACTATATGGAGCAAAGGAACTATATATGGAAAAACGAAAAAAAAAAATAATAAAAGAGAGAGAGAGATTCAAAAGAACAGTGGGAAGCCTCCAAGACTCCAGCCTTCATAAAATTCGCTTGTTAATCGTCGTTCTGCCAAGACTCAAGCGACGTCGTACGCAAACCTTCGCCAACAAATGGTCTGTTCCAGTACTTTTTATACCCTCCACCATAGTATGGAGGGTATATTAATTTTGTCATTCCGTTTGTAACTCATCGAAATATTCATTTCCGACCCTATAAAGTATATATATTCTTGATCAGGGTAAAATTCTAAGACGATCTAGCCATGTCCGTCCGTCTGTTGTAATCGCGCTATCTTCTGAAGGAATTGAGATAGGGTGCTGAAATTTTGCATAGGGTTATCTTTTGTCTGCAGGCAGGTCAAGTTCGAAGATGGGATATATCGGTCCACGTTTAGGCATAGCTCCCATATAAGGGTACCCCCCAATTTTCGGTATTTTGGGGTTATTGAGCGCGTTTTTCAAGCGAATTTGTAGTAAATGTATCCACAAAAAATTATAAATATAGGTCCACTTTTTCTTGTAGCCCCCATATAAGGGCACCCCAAATTTTCGGTATTTTGAGGTTCTTAAGCGCGATTTTCAACCGAATTCGCTGAAATTTGGTACAGTGGGTTCATATTGGGTACCAAATATCTCTATTTAAAATTATAAATATCGGTCCACTTTTTCATTTCAAATACCTGTCAGTATACCTGTGGTGGAGGGTATCCAAAGTTCGGCCCGGCCGAACTTAACGCTTTTTCACTTGTTTAATAGTAAATGTAGTAAAAGGGAAACATTTCAAGTCTCAGAGTACAAAATAATTTGAAAAGTTCGGGAACGCAAATCTAGTAAATATGCCAAAATGAGATGGCAATACTTCAAAATCAACATAACAAAAAGTTTACAAAGAGAAAGCCATTTTGTTTTGTGCTCTCTTAAATTTGATTCAATGCTTTACCAGTTTTATGGGTTCAGGAACGGTTTTCGAGTAAAAAGTTGCAAAACTTGTAAAATTAGTAGATTCTTTTAGGTTTTGGAACGGAGCTAAAATAAAAACGACGACTGACAAAATTGAAAAACGTTCCACCTGCTAACGAATGGGAGGAGAAGACAAAATGGCCGATAAAGATGAACTCAAAATGGTATAACCGAAAGTTTACGAATGAGGTGGGATAGAGACTAAATGGAAACCGTGTTGTTTACGAATGAGGTTTAGGCAAATTATGATTAGGGATAAGTAAATCGACTTTCGACAAATCGATTAATCGACTTTTTGTACTGAAGAGTCCATGGCCTATAAATAAGGTCACCAAGATAGCAATCGAAATCGGAAAACAGCTGCTTTTTCTAAAGTCTAATGTCAAAAATTTCGACTTTGTTTACGTTTTCAAAATGGAAGTCAATTCACAATAATGCATTTTGACAGCAAACTTGAGAGGTATCGATAATCAGCTGGTCTCCCTTGGTGACCTTAATAAGGTCACCAATATAGCAATCAAATCGGAAAACAGCTGTTTTTTCTCAAGTCTAATGTCAAAAATTTCGACTTTGTTTACGTTTTCATAATGGAAGTCAATTCACAATAATGCATTTTGACAGCAAACTTGAGAGGTATCGATAATCAGCTGGTCTCCCTTGGTGACCTTATTTATAGGCCATGGAAGAGTCTAAAAGCCGAATTCGACTTTTGATCTTTGAAGAAATTTGAAAGAAAAAAATGTTCCACCTGCTAATGGTGTTTTTACACGATATGTATTTTACATATGTGCTGTCACTTATTTCATACATATGTAATTCCTTATGTGTGTCAAAGCGGCGTACACAAAACATTTATTTTTGTGTTCAAATCGCCATATGTATTTTACATATGATATAACCTATAAACAAGAAAATCATTTTTATTTTTTCTTAAATCAACATCATTCTTTATTAAACACCTACAAACCAAATAATAATTTGTAATTGTTGCCTTTTCATTTGACTTTGACCTTTTCAACGCGAGCATTCTGCTTAGCCCTTAAATGTTCATTGATCATGTCTCGAATTAGGCAAAATTTATAAATCGGTCAAGTAGACGCTGAGTTATTTGCATTTGAATTCAACGATGTTCCAAAGGTACTATGCTATTAATACACATTTAAATTATGACGAATCACAGAAAATCCTGAGTTTGTGACAAACATTCTTCAATACAGTTAGATAGTGAATGTTCTAAGCTATAAATATCCATTTGAAGTTTTCTATATCAAAAGTTGTAACGAATCTAAGATTCCAGCGAAATATAGTAAAAATAGTAAAAAGGTTTTCTATAATTTCCCTCGGTAAAGTTATGTAGAGTATTTAGTAAAATAGATTATTTAATCTATCATATGACACCATTATTGAAATTCGATTATATTTTCAAAAGTTATACGCTTGGATTGCTTGATTTGCATAATTTGAATCATGCCCATCATTAATGGCGCTGACGACGGATTTGTAAAAAATACATACCTAATTTCTGTTTGGTATATTTTTGGAATGAATTCGAAATCCTTCCGAATCAATATATTCTGGACATATTTTTCCTAACGATTGTTCTGTATGTTATGTTCCGTATGACTTTGATTTATTTATGAAAACAAAAAACTAGTTTGTCGGTGCTAATGATTTTTAAAATTTGTTTGGAAAACATACATCGGTTAGTGGGTTATGGCCTGGCTCCAATGCAGGACACTTATATCTTAACTCATGTCATGTGAATATTTGTAGTTATTTGAAACCACAGATAACAAGAACACAATTATTATTGGGTTGTTGTTATGGCAGTACCCTGTATGACATTTGACCAAATTAGTATTGGCGTTGTGGCATGCGCCCTACAACATTGGCCAAGTCAAACGTTTTGACAGTTCGCTATTTGAAAGGTGGTGAATAAGACGTGAAATTCTATCAGTTTGTGAAAAAATGATGTTAAATTATAGCTGAAAATAATTAAGCATATCAGCTAGTATTGAAAAAGATAATGAAAATGTACTGCGGTTACCTTTGTGAATAATAGTGCAACTATTAATTATATCACTGATAATAATTTAAAGTAATATAAATATCCAAATGTTACAATTAATATCGCATACCAATTATTCTGGCAAATTTTCAATGGATTGCTCGTTTGTGCATTCTTCGCATCATCATCACCATCGTCGTCGACTAGCTACGCTGCTATTGAGACTAAGTACAACGATGACGTCGACAGAGGCGACAATATTAATGATGTATAAACCAATTAAGCTAAATTGTTGTGAGGATTAAGGCTCGCATTTAGCCTAAATATGTCGTATTAACGAACTTTGTAATGTATTAAGTAGATTTACACTACAAACACACAATGCTGTCACAGCGACACATACACACACACAGACACACAGTAGTGTAATACATAATAATGGTTAGTGGTAACATTTTGCAAAGACAGCAAAAGTCAGTGAACATTGTGAAGAAAATCGCATGAAATATGTACAACGGCAACAACAACAACGCGAATATTAATATATTTTCCCCCAAAACCAATTTTCTCAATTACTTGTGATTGAATGTGTGTGTGTGTGAGTGAGTGAGTTGTTAATATTTTAGCATAACAAATAGTAATTTGGGGAAGTGAAGCAATTTAATTACCCTGTAAAACCTAATAATAATACAAAACAAAATTTACAAAATTACCGAGTCTATAGTGAAGGAGATTGTCACTACTGCCATATATGGGAAGTGACCAAAATCAGTCTGCATAATTAATATATTTGAAATAGTATGTTTAGTGATATTTTCAGCATTATAACTTTTGATGTTTTCTATTCATAATAAAATAAAAATGGAAATATGTATTGAATGGCCTCAACATTTTGCATTACAGGTGATCGTATAAAGATAGTAATATATATTAGATGTGAATCGCTTGTAACTTCCGTGTGGCAACATTCTTTCTGGAAGATTACAAATGTTGATTGGCTGTGTGTGTATGTGTGCATATCAAACATTTCTATGAAATGGAAATGTCAAGGAATTTACACGCAATCAGATGGACTGACATATCTACTATAAAACGATGAATTTAACGGTATTTACAACATTTAAGAGATGCATAAAACATACATAAATGCGGGATAGAGAACGAGAGAGAGGAAGAGAGAAAGATAGCGTGACGTTACAGGGAGAGTACAAAGTGTATATTGAAATATATATGTATGTAGGTCTGTGGATGTATGCAAACGAATAGCGGTGAAAGAAAGACAAGTTGTCATACATATCGACTCTAAATCGTGGATAGTAAATTTGATAACTAAAACAACAACAACACCAGAAGTGTTTTATACAATTCAAAAATATACACAGACAACACAAAACGCGCACACACATTGAGAATACATGAGAGATACGTGGTTTTTTTCTGTTCGGTTATTTGAAGAAGTATCTGAGAAGTAACATATTTCCTTGAACTTTAGTGTTTGTTATTGATGATAATACCAGTTAACTCTC